ACTAGTAGTCTTGTATATAGAGTATTGAGATAATCAACAGAGAGCCACTGTAACACTTGTGATAGCTATTCACTAACTACAGATTAATGAGTGAGTGAGTGAGTGAGTTATTATTTAACGTCACATCGGCAATATTTCAGCCATATCGTGACAAGAACACTTGACATTAAAATAGAATATATATAGATAGTATAAAAACCTGCCGACAAAGGACAGTAAAGCAACTAGAGTATCACAGATATACATCTAAAACTAGTAATTGAATCTAAAACAGTTTAACTATAGGGGACAACACAATATAAAAATAGGCTATAAATCACCAACAACTGAAGGTAGATCACCATACTAGGGTCCATGGGGACTTACAGTACTTCTGCTACCTGCATGGGCCCTAGCTGGATTCATATCATCCCTTCAGCCACTGGCGATTGAAGTTCAATTAAGCCAAAATTAAAATGACAGAAATGCTACATTTAAAACAGCTGGTGAATTTAAATTTCCTTTGAAAGTTTTGGGACTAACGTACCTTCTCAGGATCCTACAGATTAATATTTCGTTCTACTGTTACGAGAGTTCAGTTGATGCAGGGTGCACTGTTCATAAGTGGCTCGTTTCCTGATCAGTGGTCTTACTTCCTATTTTAAATAACGGTAACGGCTGTATAGTGCTTTTATAGATTTGAAAGGATCTACATATATATATATATATATATATATATATGTGTGTGTGTGTGTGTGTGTGTGTGTGTGTGTGTGTGTGTGTGTGTGTGTGTGTGTGTAAGTGTGTGTGTGTGTGTGTGTGAAGTGATGTGGCTAAACACAGTTTTCCGGTTTGTGCTCTGGTTATAGACAGGAATGCCAATTGTCTTTCTTGTTCTCATGTTTCATCAATTAAATTACTGGAGCTATGTTGATATACAACTTATCACAGGGAGAGAGTCATGTTGATATACAAGTTATCACAGGGAGAGAGTCATGTTGATATACAAGTTATCACAGGGAGAGAATCATGTTGATATACAACTTATCACAAAGAAGAGAGTCATATTGATATACAACTTATCACAGGGAGAGAGTCATGTTGATATACAAGTTATCACAGGGAGAGAGTCATATTAATATACAACTTATCACAGGGAGAGAGTCATACTGATATACAACTTATCACAGGGAAAGAGTCATGTTGATATGCAACTTATCTCAGGAAGAGAATCATGTTGATATACAACTTATCACAGGAGAGAGTCATGTTGATATACAACTTATCACAGGGCGAGAGTCATGTTGATATACAACTTATCACAGGGAGAGAGTCATGTTGATATACAACTTATCACAGGGAGAGAGTCATGTTGATAAACAACTTATCACAGGGAGAGAATCATGTTGATAAACAACTTATCACAGGAAGAGAATCATGTTGATAAACAACTTATCACAGGGAGAGATTCATGTGGATATACAACTTATCACAGGGAGAGAATCATGTTGATAAACAACTTATCACAGGGAGAGAGTCATGTTGATATACAACTTATCACAGGGAGAGAGTCATGTTGGTATACAACTTATCACAGGGAGAGAGTCATGTTGATATACAACTTATCACAGGGAGAGAGTCATGTTGGTATAGAACTTATCACAGGGAGAGAGTCATGTTGATAAACAACTTATCACAGGGAGAGAGTCATGTTGATATACAACTTATCACAGGAAGAGAATCATGTTGATAAACAACTTATCACAGGAAGAGAATCATGTTGATAAACAACTTATCACAGGGAGAGAGTCATGTTGATATACAACTTATCACAGGGAGAGAGTCATGTTGATAAACAACTTATCACAGGAAGAGAATCATGTTGATAAACAACTTATCACAGGAAGAGAGTCATGTTGATATACAACTTATCACAGGGAGAGAGTCATGTTGATAAACAACTTATCACAGGGAGAGAATCATGTTGATAAACAACTTATCACAGGAAGAGAATCATGTTGATAAACAACTTATCACAGGGAGAGATTCATGTGGATATACAACTTATCACAGGGAGAGAATCATGTTGATAAACAACTTATCACAGGGAGAGAATCATGTTGATAAACAACTTATCACAGGGAGAGAGTCATGTTGATATACAACTTATCACAGGGAGAGAGTCATGTTGGTATAGAACTTATCACAGGGAGAGAATCATGTTGATAAACAACTTATCACAGGGAGAGTCATGTGTTGATATACAACTTATCACAGGGAGAGAGTCATGTTGGTATAGAACTTATCACAGGGAGAGAATCATGTTGATAAACAACTTATCACAGGAAGAGAATCATGTTGATAAACAACTTATCACAGGAAGAGAATCATGTTGATAAACAACTTATCACAGGGAGAGAGTCATGTTGATATACAACTTATCACAGGGAGAGAGTCATGTTGATAAACAACTTATCACAGGAAGAGAATCATGTTGATAAACAACTTATCACAGGAAGAGAGTCATGTGGATATACAACTTATCACAGGGAGAGAGTCATGTTGATAAACAACTTATCACAGGGAGAGAATCATGTTGATAAACAACTTATCACAGGAAGAGAATCATGTTGATAAACAACTTATCACAGGGAGAGATTCATGTGGATATACAACTTATCACAGGGAGAGAATCATGTTGATAACCAACTTATCACAGGGAGGGAATCATGTTGATAAACAACTTATCACAGGGAGAGAGTCATGTTGATATACAACTTATCACAGGGAGAGAGTCATGTTGGTATAGAACTTATCACAGGGAGAGAATCATGTTGATAAACAACTTATCACAGGGAGAGAGTCATGTTGATATACAACTTATCACAGGGAGAGAGTCATGTTGGTATAGAACTTATCACAGGAAGAGAATCATGTTGATAAACAACTTATCACAGGAAGAGAATCATGTTGATAAACAACTTATCACAGGGAGAGAGTCATGTTGATATACAACTTATCACAGGGAGAGAGTCATGTTGGTATAGAACTTATCACAGGGAGAGAATCATGTTGATAAACAACTTATCACAGGAAGAGAATCATGTTGATAAACAACTTATCACAGGAAGAGAGTCATGTTGATAAACAACTTATCACAGGGAGAGAGTCATGTTGGTATAGAACTTATCACAGGGAGAGAATCATGTTGATAAACAACTTATCACAGGAAGAGAATCATGTTGATAAACAACTTATCACAGGGAGAGATTCATGTGGATATACAACTTATCACAGGGAGAGAGTCATGTTGATATACAACTTATCACAGGGAGAGAATCATGTTGATAAACAACTTATCACAGGGAGAGAGTCATGTTGATAAACAACTTATCACAGGGAGAGAGTCATGTTGAGATACAACTTATCACAGGGAGGGATTCATGTGGATATACAACTCATCACAGGTAGAGAGTCATGTTGATATACAACTTATCACAGGGAGAGAATCATGTTGATAAACAACTTATCACAGGAAGAGAGTCATGTTGATAAACAACTTATCACAGGAAGAGAGTCATGTTGATAAACAACTTATCACAGGGAGAGAGTCATGTTGATATACAACTTATCACAGGGAGAGAATCATGTTGATAAACAACTTATCACAGGGAGAGAGTCATGTTGATAAACAAGTTATCACAGGGAGAGAGTCATGTGGATATTCAACTTATCACAGGGAGAGAGTCATGTGGATATACAACTTATCACAGGGAGAGAGTCATGTGGATATACAACTTATCACAGGGTTACTGTTAGGAATCTTTCTTATAATTTCCTGTATGGAAGAGCAGAAAATGGTAAAGCCTGTTGAGCTGCTTGTGTCAAATCTTTGTTGTATATATGTCGTTTTGGCGACTTTTGGACACAAACCACAAACATGGATAAGCCGGAAATAGCAATCACAGGCCGGATTTAGGCATGGTTTTTCGGCTATGTATAATATCTTCAGCTTGCAGTCTGTTGTTCAACTCTTGAGGAAAAAGAAAGCTAAAGTTTATGCTTTATTTGTGGATTTTGCTAAGGCTAAGCTGAGGCTAAGCTGTGGACAGTTTTACAACACAAGGGAGTTTTGCCAAATATGTTAAACCTATCTATGCAAGTGTAAAATCGTGTGTTAAATCTGATATATCAGTTTCAGGTATGTTTGAGGGTAATGTGGGAGTGCGTCAGGGATGTGTCTTAAGCCCCCTGCTATCTTCGTTGTTCATGAATAATTTTGCTAATGAAATAGACAGTTCATGTTATCCTGGCATCCAGGACTTACATCCAGACTTGACTCATTTATACTAATTACTGTTTGCGGGACCCGTGAAGGTCCGGGTTAGAATATTGATCTTCAGTAACCCATGCTTGTCGTAAGAGGCAACTAACGGGATGGGGTGGTCAGACTCGCTGATTTGGTTGACACATGTCATCGGTTCCCAATTGCGCAGATCGATGCTCATGCTGTTGATCTCTGGATTGTTTGGTCCCGACTCGATTGTTCATCAAATGACTCCTAGTTTATTAGTTTCATTGTGGGAACGTCCGTTTGGACACTAGTGTGGAAGTTTGGTTCTCCTACAGCTACGTTTCTGTCTGCTATTTTTATGTTACGGTACGGGAACTAAGTCAGCAGTATACCAGTATAAGGCGAGGTGTCAGGCCGCCGTAACATTGGGCAATAAGTATTCTGGCTGCTGTACAACATTTTACGTAGGAGAGAGTTTAACAAGTCACCGTTGACTTCCCGTGGTACATGTCACTTTGATTGTAAAAACACAAAGTTGGCAATCATTTGTCAGATATGACTTAAATGAGTCAATAACGCGGGTCTAGGGTTCCATGGATGATGAGGCGGTAATCATTTCGTGATTGCTGAGAATAAAGTGAAATTGCTACTGTCGCGGTAGGAGCGAAAAGAGGATCCTCACGAACATTGTAATTAAGTAGTAGTGGTAGTAGTAGAAGTAGTAAAATGTTTATTAAAGTGTCACAAGCACAGCATTAACATTAAAATACAGAATCACATAAACATTTTAAAGGAAGTGCGTCAAGCCATACATGTGCTTACGAGACACTATAAATACATTATAAGTACATTAATGGTACACACATGATAGAATATAATATGGGAGATAGAAATTTAGGCAGAGTGTAGATAAGACACACGCAGAACAACAACAGACTCCTCGATGAAACAACAAAAGAGAAAGAAAAAGAATAACAGGAGATTCTTAAAATAATCATAATGAAATTAGTCAAAAAGGAAAAAGCATAAATAAGAATAAATTAGATATGCATTGTATATATAAAATTAACATTATTCCGCCATTTCACGTCTATTAAACATTTTATAAAGTGCATTTGCTAATATATTATTTTTGTAAAACATCGGAATTCATTATATAAAACAATTTATCTTCATCACAAAGGTAGTTAAAATTACGATTGCTTTCTACAGCTGCCTTTAAAAGGTTAAATCTAATGTTTTTATAAAAAGTACATTGGATCCGTGAAATTCACCTTCAATATGGGCGGTGGGGTAGCCTAATGGTTAAAGCGTTGGCTCGTCACGCCGAAAACCCGGGTTCGATTCCCCACATGGGTACAATGTGTGAAGCCCATTTCTGGTGTCCCCCGCCGTGATGTTGCTGGAATATTGCTAAAAGCGGCGTAAAACCAAACTCGCTCGCTCGCTCACCTTCAATAAAATATATACGAGCATTTTTACAATATTTACAGAGCCTTTCTTCAAGTGGTACAGAAGGCTTGATATATCTACCCTTTTCAACATACAATGGTAAAATTCCCCACCTAAACTTAGCTAAAATACGACGATGGTCTCGAAAGATAACATTTTGTACATAAAATTCTACAAAACGGGAGACCTTATACTTTTTGTAAGTTCGTAACTTATTCCCATTAACATTACCGTCATCATCCCAGAGCTTAGCGTGCCATTTTAATACGTCCTCATGCATTAAAACTTTTAAAATATATTTTACACAAGATTTAGTTCCCCAATCATTATTTAACAAATGAGCAGAGTTAAATTGTCGGACGATATTCATTACCTTGTTATCCCAAGAGGAAGGAATCCCATTTGCCCATCGATGAATTACATATGGCAGCCGATGTTGCGGCAAAGATTTCAATCTTAATAAATATCTGAAACCCTCTACCTTTTGTCTTACAGACACTGAAACCTACCCCATGTCCCCTCTAAGCGCAATAACGGGGTCCAAAAACATACTACATGCTACAACTTCTACTTCCCTGTAATTGTTCATACAAATGTCTAAAATTTGGAAGAACGTACCATTTCTTTCCAAAGCTAAGAATGGAATTTTACAGAAGTATTCACCTAAATAATGAAAACAAATCTCAACTGAAAGAATCCTTGTATGGTCATTATTTCAGTACAGTATGTCTGTGCTCACTGAGAATTGCTGCGTAATCATTTATATCACAGACTCGCAAACACACGATGGAAGTGCGATTATGTACTTCCAAAGGACTTTAGGGTATAGACGTTGGAGCCTGCTTCAGTTGCAAGTGATGGAACACACTTGTCAGTCAGTTTGCAGGTGCCCGTTGCGGAGATGCTGAACCCAATGCATGCAGTGGTACAGAGACACTTGTGGTTGCACTCCTTCTTCGTCATGCCTGTTCCATTGAAGATGACATCTCCAGAGTCGTTGATCATCTTCCCTGCACCAGACAAATGAAACACAAATGGCTGGAACGCTCCGGACACTGCCGGTCGACTCTGAGCAGCGCAAGTGGGTTCCCCTGAAACAGCATAGTCGTAGGGGTATGGGAGTGACTCGCGTTTAGAAGCATATTAGTTACAATTTGTCGGTACATTGTGGGAGCGAAGTAGACACGGCCACTTGCCAGAAACATTTAGTGTTTGATAATATCTCAATACCCTTTCTTCATCCATAAGAAGTTTCTGACTATATCAAGAGTATGTATTTGTTTCAGCAGTATTTTAGCTGCACGATGTTGTTTGTAAACAATGAAGTCTGGACCAGATAGTCAAGTGACTGTCACCATGCGATATGATGACAAAGCATGTGTTTATTAATCACTATCAAATAGTTATGATACCAGGTGTTCGCGAAATGGTGACCCTCCGGTGGCATCCGTATAAACATACGCAGAATCTAGTCAATTATTCACCTGGCAAAATCTATGAATCTTTATGCATAGATCTAAATATTAAACAGTTTAAGCGGTCTCACTTGTCTCCTTAATTGCAAGTTCAGGTGGGAAAATACGTGGGTGAGAATGTGATGGTTATTGAACGATATTAGATCATCGATATACTTGAAGCCTAAGTTAAACTTTTTGGCCGAATGAGCTTGTTTTAATTTTGCCAACCCCATCAGAAATTTGTATGCATAAAGAAACAGATCCGCAATGTTTTGATGTCCCGCATCTGAGATTTGCATCCACTACTAACAAATTTGAGTCGCTGACAGCAGGGATTTCCTCACACTGAAGAGGACAGGACAGGGCCATTAGGACATGTATACTATTTGAACAGACTGGTGAATGTCGGAGAATCATTAATATTGTCTTGCTGCCAATAACCTGTAACGTGTAACCATGGTGCGTTTCAATTACGAGAAATTATGTAATTTAATCATCCATCCATCCATTTGAGCATACATGTTTTGGTGTCCATATAAATCTACATGGATAGGGTTTTGTCGCTTTTGTTCCTGTGGATGTAAACTTTACACAATCTAACATTTGAGGGTGTAAACGAAAATATAGCTTTATACGATTCTTGTTATTTATAACCGCAAGCATGTTGAATTAGATGTTTGCACATTCTTACCGCAGGTCTGGACAGTGTTCACCGTCAAATCATCGGTTGTACCATCTGCAAGGAAAAAAGAGATGAATCTCAAATTCTACATTTCAATGTGACATCGACGCTTGTGTGAAAAGCATAGCCATACTCGTAAAGGGAGACAAACATAAATTCCAAAGTGCATTTTGTATATGAACACATTTCGTGCACGTTCAGTTTAACTTTGCACATCTGTTAAAAAGCTCTGTAATATGTTGATGTTGAAGTACGTTTAAGTAGTTTCGATAAAAGACTCATTAAACGGGAAGCATAATTTCCATAAAATCTGTTCCCTTTGCCAGTTCTAGACGTGCTTTCTTTTATCGAATTAGGGTCCACATAGAAAAGATTGGTCAAGGATCTTTTAGAGAAAGTTACCCCTTCTTCATTTTCAAGTCAACATATCTCTGTACTGTCCAAGACTTGAAATGAGCGTTATGAATGGATGCACCTTACTGAAACGCGGCTCTATGACGTTAACAAGTGCGGCCAGGTACAGGATTCTGGCATACAATGTTCAAGATATTACACATAAACCAATAGCTGTGCTTAATGACAATATCTGGTGTACAAGAACCCTGTCTGGAATGTCAATGATGTTGTCCATTTAGATAATGTCTGATCATCACAAGATCGACTTTTCAATTATGTGAGAGTCTCTTAATATAAACGGCTGAATTCATATGATTCTGAGAAGGGTTGTATCTTCCCTCTGAGTTGTCATTCCTGGTCGATCTGAGACCCTTAACATCATTAGTTTGCTGCTGTTATTTAGCCAATCGACTCATTGACGATCGATGACAACCAACATCTCTTCCGATAGCCCTGAATGACATGGCAGTACTCTGTTTACTTTCTTTGAGAGGCATTTTAGAAGTTGTATATATGAAGGAAAGTGGATAGTCACTTGCTTGATAACGGTGTTAGTACCTACACGGAAACATCGCACTCATTGCAATAGAGAAGTTGACTATCCATAGAACTTGGTTTTCCTTCTGCATACTTATGACTTGTCATCTTTGAGCAATACTTAGTCAGATGAGGGGGCCCCATAGTTACTAATCAACAACTAAAACAATTGATTCCAAGTTATCTAGGTGTAAGAGCTAGCGATTTGTTGAAACTTGATGTTTGCTTAAAAATGGGTACACCTATTGCACGTGGTGATCGCCTTTGTTCAAGCAGAAATCAATGTATGTTGCTCCCGAAGGGTCAAAATAACCATACAACCGAACATAATTATGATATAAATGGCTATGTTAAAAGTCATAGCTATCATAGGCGATACTTTTTTGCTTGTGTATACATGTACTTCGGTTGACTCGGATTAATTCCAGTAATGTGTGTGTAGATTTTCGTGTACGTGAGCGCACCCACCATTGATATGTCAAGCGAACAAAGTTCTATATTTGTATAAAGGGTATTTTTAAATGAATAATTTTGTTCCAAATTTTACCAAAATTCGTCAGAGGGAGGCAAGGTTTGGAAGTTGACAGATGAAAGTTAATAAGGACAACAAACTGGAACTAAGTGTAAAGATTTCTTGACATGACTCACCAAAACGCATGGAGACGACACTTGATCCGTCTGCTGCCCCGACAGAGATGTACTTGATCTCAATGATATCCGGGTCCATCCAACTGAGCACCTGCTGGTCACCGATAACTGTCCCTTTGCCCATTTTGATGGTGCACTGGTCCCAACTGAGCCAGTAGGGGTGAAAGGTTGAGTCGCAAGTGAAGTAAGAACCGCCCTGATTCACTTCACCCTCTGGTGTCCCTGGGCAACCAGAGCATTTTTTCCTGACCGCCGAGAAATACTGGCCCCCGGTTTCTTTATTCAAATCGATGTTGTAGCCATTGGACTGTGACTTGGTCGGCCCCCACAGACCAAACTGTATGTTCTTACATCCTTTCAGTTCAACCTTTACTGACCAGTGTCCGATGATGTTGAGGCCGTAGGGGTCTGCCCAGTTGTTGTAAGAAGCTGTGTTTAGTTGACCTAAATATACAAACATATCTTTCAATGAACCACTGCTCAGTAAGGTGAATGTACGTAGGCACAACGGTCTAAACACAGATACCATATCTATCTGTCTGTCTGTCTGTCTAACATGTACACTTCAACTGAGTAAAGACACCGGATATTTGCTGTTTATTCCTACAGTAACATGAACACACGTTAATAACCATCATGTTGACATGTCTTACTTTAAGTGATTAAATGTCCTCACTAAGTTGTAAAATGTTGCGATTCCCAGGTAAAAAAGCTGCCGAAAAATTAATCCGCTTATGTGTACAGTGACGGCCATATTTCGAACTTACAGCAAAATAAAATATCCTACGGGATACTGGCTTATATTATGTCTGAACATCTCAATTTATTGTTACGCAAAGGTTCTGAAAGTTACTGTTAAGGAGTTCCTTTGATCAGTTTTATCAATCTTGGAAGAGTAAATGCTTCTTCAAAAAGTAAATATTACAAACTATAAAATGAAATATGCCATTCAGATGCTTATCTTCCGGAACTACCTCCAGTTCATAGAAAATGGTATTCCCGCTTCGAAACAGCCAATTATAGCTACTTATGGCGAAAACGCATGATCAGGTGTTCGAGTTGCGAAGGGAGTTAACTCCAGATACAGACTCGAGGTATGCTGATTAGTTTCGTATCCAAAATACGCATGACGCTGAGAAAGCGATAAACTGCGTCCACCGTTACTCAAATCATTATAAAAACTATACAATTTACGAGTCATTTCCATCTATATGAATAGCAGCCTTTTGCTTTACGATTGTTAGATGTGTTTATGAATATTACTGACTTGTGGATCACTTACAAGCTTGTTGTTAGAGGGTGTATCCAGGAGTATCATCTGATGTTGAATAACCGATATATGAAACAGGAAAGGTGGGCAATTTCATTGACTTTCTTCGTAGATAAAGAACGTTTACCACATATCAGCAACCAATCTGTATACAGTAAAGTGAAAACGGAAATGTGGGCCCACTTATCTTTTTCTCTGTAGAGACTTTTAGTGGTCAAGGATTTTTAAAAAGTGAGTATAACTACAAATCTAAGCATATATATAAATGTGTTGACTGTAGTTTTACAAAAGACGACCACACCAACAAAACTGTACACATCAAAGTAGACAGAAATGTGGGCCCCCACTTTTGAAAAATTCTGTTTAGAGTTTTTTTTCAGTTGGCCCACTTTTCGAAATTAGACTGAATAAATATACTATGTTTATCTTTTACGAATTACAACTGAGAAACAGTTTAAGTGATAAGAAACAAACACATACGTAAATATGTAATTCATTCAAACCGAAACGGCGCAGCATATTAATTTACCCAAACATGTGTAAGGCCCAGAGTAGTTGTCACTAGGCAATTGACAGCAATACCAATGATATAAATAACCTTTTGTATTTCATTTTTTCAGTGAAATCAATTACTTATCGTCAGTGATCAAACATGCAGTTTTATCGAAATTCTCTTTCAGGCGATTGACTCATAATTGTTTTCATAATCGATGAAAGAGAATTTCGATAAAACTGCATATGTAAATTATGATAAACTTCCCATCAATATAACCACACTCAATTATGGTGATAAGCACCATAATTGAGTGTGATTATATTGACCCCATAATTGAGTGTGATTATATTGATGGGAAGTTTATCATAATTTACACTGAAGCTGATAAGACTCTTCACGCAAGTTAAACCAACGTAATATTCTCGAAACCCATTCATGTCCTGTAATGAGTACGAAACAATACTATTGCCGGTGAACGCTCAAGTACAAATTCGGTGTTTATCATATGACCCCTATCTATGTCATCAAAGGTCAAAATCTCAACCAATGGCGTCATAGATATCGTGGGAACAGTTTCACAAAAGGAATACATTCATGTGATATTCTAGTATTTTTACTGTCCATCGTCGACAGTTTTTACTCTCCAAAATCTTTTCATTTTTAATTGTTTAAATTGGTTTCGTCACGATATGGCTGAGATATTGCCGATGTGACGTTACATATTAACTCACTCACTCACTAGACTACCAGTTGTCCGACTTCCATTTTTGTGGAAGCCGTGGTGGCTGATCAGTCTTGGCGTCTGACTTTGTGTGCTGGCGATTAGGTGCCTGACTCTGAGGGTGTGGGTTCGAATCCCGGATGGGACTCAATCCAACAAAAGCACTAGAATCTGTACTTAACTAAGAAATAATAAGCATAAGCTTTTTCGATATCAAGGAATACACACAACATGTATTCCTGGTTGCATAAAGCTTTCTGAACTTCAATTTCTGGACGAACATGTTGATGAACGCCCCTTTCTGAATCCTGACTGGAAGTGGGTAAGCTCATTTCGTTCAAGATAATAGTTCAGGCGATTAATAACTATCCTCTCCATGATTTTACACACATTAGAAGTGAGAGCAATCGGTCTATATGATGCAGGAAGCGATGGATCTTTTCCTGGTTTGGGCACTGGAACTGTTATTGCATGTCTCCATGTCCTAGGTAAGGATTCAGAACACCAACTTAAGTTCAAACGTTCCCGAATAACAGCTAGAGTAGAATCTGGCATATGTTTAAACATTTCATAGCACAACTCATCTGCACCTGGTGCCGAATTATGTGTTCTTGATATAGCTGCCTTAAGTTCATCATGAGTGATAGCTGTAATAATTTCCAAGCTACTTTCCAACATGGCAGAAGACATTTATGAAGAAAGTTTGTTTCAAAGACTTGTTTATATTCTCTGAATTCATGACAATAATTTTCAGAACTGCTAGCAGATTTGAATTGTTTAACAAGAGCATTTACTTTCTGACTTTTTTTACATGAGTTCGGATGTCCGATGTAGTGAGAGAGAGTAACCTCCCTTGAACCACGGATAATGCGGTTTCGCCCCAATTATATACTTATTAGATTACCAATAAAAACTGAAAGATGGAATTGCACTGTCACATCTGACAGACAACGTACACAACGGCATTTCGGAGTGCTGTCTGAATGCACCAATACCACCGAGGTGAAAAGAAAGACAATCTTTTGTCTAGGAGTTGTCTTTTCCCTATTTACATTGATAACGTTGTGCTTTCTCATTTGGGAACAGCCTGTGTTTGTGAGTGTATGCTTGATCGGCCAGGCATACTTAATCACACGTTTCTTATCTGTGAGGATTTACTGTGCTTGGGGGATTCAGCGGGGCGTCTCAATTAATGACACGAGGTGTCATCCTGACTGATTGTCCAACACGTGGACGGCAAGGGTTAATTCACACAAGGGGGCGGTGGGTAACCTAGTGGTTAAAGCGTTTGCTCGTCACGCCAAAGACACGGGGTTCGATTCCCCATATGGGTACAATGTGTGAAGACAATTTCAGGTGTGTCTATGGAGGTAACAAAGGCACTGTAATTCCCATTGTCCTTAGTATTGTGATCTACCTTCAGTTGTTGGCGATCTATAGCCTGTTTATATATTTTATCGTCCTCTATTGTGAATACTACTAATATATATCTGTGATAGTCTAGTTGGTTTTACTGTCCTTTGTCGACAGATATTTTACAATGATTACCTTGTTTTCATCGCTATGTGGCTGTAATATTGCCGATGCGTTGTCAATCATTTCTGGTGTCCCCCGCCGTGATATTGCCGGAATATTGCTAAACGCGGCGTACAATGAAACTCACTCACTCACTAATTTAAAAATGCTGTAAAGGTCAAAATAATGATTTTCATTTATTTCACTTATAATGATGACTCAATTGGTTTAGGAAGTAAACATTTTAGTTAATAATATTTCCACAATGTTACCATTTCATATTGCACAAATATTCTGCAACATTAATTAGTAGTAATGGATAAAAGGTTTATCTCTATTTCATAGTTTTTGGAATGCCACATTTCATTTTTGATGAAGTGCTCATTTTATGTCAACCTTAAGATGAGGGAGATAATTTCTTGGGGTACAGAATGACCATGTGGTTTGTGCTGCAAGCACATGTGACACAGGCAGGACTCATGAGGGTCTAAAGTAATGGTAAGCCAAATGTTATTAACTTATTTTACAATTCATTTGGAGGAATTTAATGCATTTTCTTAACTTGTACCAAACAATAAGATAATTTTTCATAATTTAGGCTTTATAGCTATTTTGGACTTGACTTGTGGAAATTGGCTTTGACTTCAAAATTTATTCTCAAGTATTCTTTTGGCCTAAAGTTTGGTATGAAAAATGTTTGAAATATTAAGCTTGCTGTTTATTCAATGTAATTAAGATACTGGTTTTGCACATGGTATTGTGAAAGTTTTCAAGTTTGTTTGTACTACATTTTACATTGTCCAAAATGTTTGTCACTATATTGTAGATGTGTAACTTTAGGGAACATGTTGACCATATACTTAATTATATTTTTTCCATTCTCTTACAGTCAATCTAATGTTTAAAACTTAGACTCAAGAATAAGAATAAATGAAGAAACAAAATTCTAGTTTGTTATCAACATAGCATTGACATTACTAGACTTAGGAATTGGATCAAGAAAATATGACAGATAATAAGGACAAAACAAAGAAAGTTAACGGATAAGGGCATGTCATATGCAACTGAAACAAAAGGTAAGCGGATACAAGGTATTTTCCGCCAGCTTGAAAGAGATTTCGACCACATCAACCTAGTAATTGCTACTGGAGTTGTGACTAAAAACACAATTGAGGATGTTCGACGGGAATATGCATCTTGGCTTTTCCTCTATAACACCCTGTATGATGTTAGAGATGAGTATAGACAATTATTGAAAGAGCCTGAATTAACCCAGTTTGAAGAGGAGAGTAGGTCTCAAGATAAAATCCTTTCATCCATTAAGACAGCCATTGAGCAGTTTTTCATGAAGCATGGATCAATCCAAAGTCAAAGTGAATATTCTTTATTCCCCAGTCGTTCTAGTAAAAGGTCTGGCTCTTGTAGAACCGGTCTGTCACCTT